TAATTTTCCCACTCCCCCTAATCATCCCCTAACTCCCAAAACACCCGCCCCCCCCGGCCCACATCCTTCCAATACACACTTTCCAATTCCCTCCAAATAATGTTTAAATAGTAACCCCTTCAATATATTTAGTGTGCCCCCCCCCAAAAAAATCCCCTTTTTTACGCCATTGCTGTCCCCCGGCAGTACACACTACAAAACACACTGGTCCCCCCCCTATGTTCCATCCCCCTCCAAATTCCCCTTTTCCCCCCTTTTCCAGTGTAAACAAATTTAAAAAGGGTGCCCCGCTATTTAAAACCGCGCCCTCCCCGAAGTTTTTAGTAAAACCAGCATAAACCTTGTACTCATCTATCAACAAATCCCTTCCGTACTTAAAATTATGCTCTTTTAAAAATATGATCTGCATTCCATGCCTCTTTAAAAAGTCACTAAAGATCCTGCACTTTACATCGGCCCTTAGGCCATTTACATTTAACGTTAGGCACTTAAAAATGCTATCGGGGGCTTACCAATCGATCGATATCCATACGGGTCCTTATGTTTTTGCACAGTATGCTTTTCACAATGCCCTTTCCTTGCCTCACCTTTCCCCTGCCCCTTACCCCCCCCCCTGATACTTTTATTTGGGACATCCACTGAGTGTTTCTTACCAGATCTTTGCACAGGTGTCAAAACATCATCACTGTCAGAAGCACCTGCCTCTCTCTTTCGTGATGCCTCAACTATGGGCATGCCCTCATCTGCACTTTCAGCTTTATGCACTTCAACCACAGCCTCACAAATCCTCTGTGGTTGCCCATCCCCACCACCCACATTGCAGATGTCCCATCCGACACCATACGTCGTGTTCGGTTCCTATTCTGATCCTCCAAGAATCCCTGTATAACAATGTCTATTGCAGCTGAAACTTCACTACCCAATTCACCTTGTCTCACCTCATCCTCTATATGTATGGTCTCAATTACTTGAGAGACCTCCGGTAATGTTACACATTCCACCGGATTGTCCTCCACGATTTCACTCCACGGCCTGTGGGCCCGAGGATGCTCCCGTGATGGCTGGGTCGTCACTTCTCTTTCCTTCTCCACTCCTTTCCCTTCTCCATGTGTCTCAGGTGACGATTGTCGAGGACACATCGCAGCCATATGATCATACGCTCCACAGAGTCTACATGTTCTTCTCTGCCCTGCATATGTGACACATACCTGAGTTCTGAAGTCACTCAATGTCACATATGATGGTATAGTTTTGCGCAAGGACATCTTAAGGGTAAAAGATCCCTCACACAGTCCAGCATACATTCCCTCAGACCACCTTCCAACTGTTGCTTGATGTATAACACCAAACTCTTCGAAAGTTGCGTTTATGTCTTCCTCATCGGCCTCAAATGGGACATTCCGTAACTTTACCCAAGTATAATACTTAGATACGTCTCTCATACATACTTCTAAACCAGGGTTAACCAGCATACACACATCCTGGTACTTTTCCACCATCTTCTCATATACAGCAGTCATCACGAATTTCAGAAAGATTCTTGTAGCTCCATTCAAAGCAATTCCATACAAATCGTCGTTGTTGATGCAGTAGGTATCTCTTAAGATGGCAGGAAGCATAACTGACCCATTGGTGTTATAAACTGCGCCTTTCAACACCTCAATACACACAGTGTTTATCCTCCTCCTGGTAGTCTGCATCATCTTGCAAAATTCGCTCAGTGCTACCAACTGTAGCGAGTGCAGCAGCCAACGTCCGTCCTCCATCAATGGTGTTTGACGAATGCACGAGCAAAACCGAAGTGCAACCTCTCGGCCCGGAAGCGAAGAGGTCAGTGTTTGTTATCCTGGTTATGAAAGTTTTTCAAACACAGGGAACATAACCATTAGGGTTAAAAGACCAGGGTGCCTCGAAAAAAAAAAAAATCTTTCTTGGATGCATCCTTCGTGTTGCTCAAAGGCAAACCATTCCCTTGATACAACCTTTCAAACCAGACAACACCTGGCAAAACTCACATCTTACATACCTCAAATACACCAGCCAACAGAAAAAACCCCCCCCCTTACATTCCCCGAAAAGGAGACCAACCCTTTGCCCTCCCTCTGGGACCCCGACAAAGGGTACCCACAGTGAGGCTCCGATAACCTTCTGGGAAACTATTCCTACACTTTGTTCTATAGAACCTTGCCGCCAACACTTTTACCCTCAAATCTTCCCTTAACTCCCACATTCCCCAAGAAATATCTAAATAGTCTACTATGACATACATTATAGCCCTTCTCACATCCTTTGGCACACTATGTACATCTAACAATAAAGCCCTTAAAAGCGACAAACGACCCCCCCAAAAGTCTGATAAGCCCCCTCATCCATAATCTCACCCCCTCCAAGGAGGGACAAAAAAAGACAGCATGAAACGCCATTTCAACATCAACGCAATGCAGGCAAGATGCCTCGTCCACGAATCTCATGGGTCTCAACACATCCTTGGAGGCCAGAATTCCCATGATAAAACGATACACTAATTCCCTTACTCTAGCCTGTATCCCTCCAAATAACCTGCCAATCGTACGTTGGGTACACGGCAACCCTTTGCAAGACTTCCTGCCCTCCCACAGCCCACACCAACCTTTTTACATTTAGGTTGGCTAACTGTTGCACTGTCAATAAAACCCTCAACATATCCTCACAAACCCGGAAGTCCTTGCCACTCCACCATCTATGAGCCTCCTCCATAACCCTTCTTACTCTAATGCCCCGCACACCCCCTTCCTTAATATACCTCTGCTTGATATAGATAGCCATTACTCGCAGACACAACACCAACAAACCTAAACCCCCTCGTTGAACATTCGTCATAACTACCTCCTTACATAACCACGCCCTTCCAAAGCCCCACAAAACTTTAACACCCTCTGCTGGATTTCCAAAATGTCCTGTACCCGTAAGGGGAACACCTCCACCACCCCCCATACCTTGCTATAGACAAGTGAGTTGACGACCACTGCCCTCTGATGCAATGCTTGATCCGTTGAACTTAAACCTCTAAGTCTACCCAAAACCTTTCCCATAACAGACTCCGAATTGACCCTCTTGCAGTCCTGCACCTCCACCATATACTATATCCCACATACCCTTATCCTATCCACCACTGTCCATCCTGACCCCTCCCCCAAGCTCCCACCTATCCAATTACCCACCTCCAGTAACCTTGATTTCACTATGTTAACTCTCTTACTCGTATTAGTACCAAAAATATGAAACACTCTACCCACCCTCCCTAACGCTTCCTTACCCCTAAACAAAACAGTTGTATCATCCACATATCCAGCAATAACCCCCCGGCAGCCCCATCCATCTCCTGTCTGTCCATCACCCCCTCAACAAACTCATAAAAGGGATTCTGCACACAAGCAAAAAGCAGCTGGGATAGCAGGCATCCCTGCCTCAAACCTCTCTCCATCGATGCAATTTCACCCAACCTCCCATTGACCAGTACCCTCACCACCGCCTCAGCATACAGGGTGTTCACCATCTCACCACCCCCTCTCCAAACCCTAACCGTTCTAGGCAAACTCTTAAGAAATCTGTATCCACGCAATCATATGCATTCTCCCAATCTAAACCAACTGTTCCCCCTCCCGGACAGCTCTCAATAAAATCCCTGATAAAACCATGTCCGTCCCTCATCCTTCTCCCCGGAATACCAAACTGCTCCCTATGTATTACAAAACCCAGTATATCCTCATTCTGTTGCTCAAAATCTTAGCAAAAATCTTGTAATCTGAGCCATTAATGAAATCGCTCAATACTCGTCCTCCTCCTTTTTTAGCACTAAAACTGTGACACCCGTTTTTTTGCGATTTCCCCATCCTTCCACTACTTAACATACAATTCAAAAACCCCACCAAACAATGCCTTACACACCCCGAATGACACTTATAAAAATCGTTTGGTATACCGTCTATGCCCAGTGTCTTACCCTGGCACAGCCCAAAAACCGCCGGACGTGAGCCTAGTATGCAGCATGCATTTCCCTTTCTGGATGGCCACGCTGAGGCGCTAGAACATGAAAGTGGCTGCCATTGGGTCCATGGTGGTGTCGATGAGTCTGAAACCAAGTTCTTTAAGGAAATGTATGGCAGTTTTCCCCATGATCCCAAAGTCTCTGATCCCACTAGACTTGCTTGATACTACTTTCTCAACATTTTGAAAATCAATTGGATGGTTAAAATCTCTTACATGAATAAATAGAGCATTGGAATCTTGTCCAGTTCTAATGCTATATTTATGTTGTTTTAATCTTAGTTCGAGACATTTACCAGTTTGACCGTAATAAACTTTATCGCAAATTTTACAAGGAATCTTATAGGCACATCCATCAACATTTTGGGGGGAATTCTTTATCAAAAGTTTTTTTTACTGTATCAAGATTTTTGAATACAACTTTAATATTAAAAGTCTTAAGAGGAGAAGGCCTATCAACCAAGTTTTCATGGTAAGGGAGAACCAACATATTTTTAGTTGAATAAGGCTGGTTGTCCCTTTCTGGATTGTAAAAAGTATTTCTAGCAACTTTAAAAGATTTATCAATTACATTTCTTTTAAAGTTGCTAGAAATACTTTTTACAATCCAAAAAGGGACAACCAGCCTTATTCAACTAAAAATATGTTGGTTCTCCCTTACCAGGTAAACGTCAGGTGTTTAACCGTTGTGGGATCTGATAGTTAGGTGTTGGCCAGACCCCTTATATACCTTCCTTTGATGCTTTACTTTCATAGTTCCTTGATAATGTGAGTAGTCACGAAAGCGCTTGGAATTTCTCTATTCTTTCAGAGTGGTTGTTTTGCATATATATATATGATATATATACACACACATATATATATATATATATATATATATATATATATATATATATATATATATATATATATATATATATATATATATATATTTATATATATATATATAAAGTAGGAATAAATATAGGCCTTACTTCATTAAGAGAAACTAGTCGGAGGTTGAAGAAGACTGGCAGCGTCACTTTGTAAACAAGAATGCAGCCCAAGAGCATTCCTAACACACTGACCGAGATCTGTGTCCCGAAGAAGTACACCTCAGAGGAGTTACCTGAAGAAGCAATTAGTACTTGATCAATTCTGAGTAATATTGCTCTGAAATTTATAGAATTCATGATCTAATTCCTCTCAATGATTTTGTGTTAATGTAGATGAAAGACTCTTGATCCAATGAATTCGACTTGTCCCCCGCCTTCATATTTGGAACGTCAGAGCCTCCATTTCTCCTAGGTGTTTTATGGTCTCCACGACCTTTTTACAGATTTCAGAAATAATTATAACATTGGCAGTTTACTTGATTCAGTAATATTACTTTCAGAAAAGAATATTTGTGAAGATAAATTACTTTGCCAATTTCAAATTACTTCAACATCTTGAGAACTCTTGCATTATTCTTGTAAAACAACCTTGAACGTTACCCTTTTTTAACAATATTAGCTTTCTTATTACATGTAATTACTTTTCCTGGACACTTTCATGTCCAGGAAAGTGAGTAAGCACTAAGAAGAAGAGTCACGAAAAATACATTTTATTACGAAGTGAGTTAATACGTGACACCGAGAAGGTGACAACTCTCTTAGTGATGTGATGTGTCATATAGTGAGATAGCACACTGCAGGAGGCCTGCTGGTCCACAGTGTATAATAACTGCATATATGTCATATAGTGAGATAGCACACTGCAGAAGGCCTGCTGGTCCACAGTGTATAATAACTGCATATATGTCATATAGTGAGATAGCACACTGCAGAAGGCCTGCTGGTCCACAGTGTATAATAACTGCATATATGTCATATAGTGAGATAGCACACTGCAGGAGGCTCTGCTGGTCCACAGTGTATAATAACTGCATATATGTCATATAGTGAGATAGCACACTGCAGGAGGCCTGCTGGTCCACAGTGTATAATAACTGCATATATGTCATATAGTGAGATAGCACACTGCAGGAGGCCTGCTGGTCCACAGTGTATAATAACTGCATATATGTCATATAGTGAGATAGCACACTGCAGGAGGCCTGCTGGTCCACAGTGTATAACAACTGCATATATGTCAAACCTCTAATACACATTAGCAGAGGTTCAGTGATAATAATGCTAACATATAGTAGGAAAATCATGAACAGGTAGTCTTCATTTAATATATATAACATATAGTAATACATATGAGGAACACTGCCAGTACACTACCTCAATGGCAAATAAAGAACCAACCATGGTAATAAAAGAACCAATGAAATATAAGAACCCCAATGTGAAGATAAAATATAACCACAATGTGAAATAAAGAGAACGCCAAGTGGAAGATAACAAGAACCCCAATGGAAAATAAAATGAACCTCAAATGGAAATATAAATTAACCCACAATGGAAATAAGAAACCCCAATGGAAATAAAAGAACCCCAATGGAATAAAAGAACCCCAATGGAAATAAAAGAACCCCAATGGGAATAAAACCCAGAAATAAAAGAACCCCATGGTAAATAAAAGAACCCCAATGGAAATAAAAGAACCCCAATGGGAATAAAAGAACCCCAATGGAAATAAAAGAACCCCAATGGAAATAAAAGAACCCCAATGGGAATAAAAGAACCCCAATGGAAATAAAAGAACCCCAATGGGAATAAAAGAACCCCAATGGAAATAAAAGAACCCCAATGGGAATAAAAGAACCCCAATGGAAATAAAAGAACCCCAATGGAAATAAAAGAACCCCATGTAAATAAAAGAACCCCAATGGAAATAAAAGAACCCCAATGGAAATAAAAGAGCCCCAATGGAAATAAAAGAACCCCAGTGGAAATAAGTCACTCTGACTTTTCATGGTTACCCAGGTTAAACCTTAACATAGTCATGACTTTTATGTATAGTTTTTAAATTAGTTTATGTATGTATTTGTGTATACCAGAATAAACTTATTTAACTCCACGAAGGTGAACTCCATCCTCCCACGCGAACATTTGTCCAATAAATGTATAGTGAATGCAATCTCCATTGTTGTGAGAAATATTTTCACCTACAAATAATGACAATTTTCCGAACAATAAAACTGTCAAGTTTATAGATACTTGAACTCATATTTGAAATATGTTCATCAAACTCGCAAGTCCCATGATGATTCCACAATATTTCATTGAACTGTAGAATTACATGGAAGTAATTCTTCGGAATTAATCCATTCTACACAAAGGCTGTATACCTCACATGATGGAGTTTACACAACCCATAGAAAATTTTTGAGTTTTATTATTAATTTTCATTTTACAGTCAGATTTAAAGAAAACATTGATATTTAAGATAATAATAATAAAATAATAATAATAATAATAATAATAATAATAATAATAATAATAATAATAATAATAATAATAATAATAATAATAATGATAATGAAAATAATAATAATAATAGAAATAATAATAATAATAATAATAATAATAATAATAATAAAAATAATAATAATAACAATTGTGGAAAATAAATTCCCATAATTATACTGTATATATTTTTACAATGTAAATATACATGATTAATGCATTACTGTTGTTCTAAATTGTATTTTGAATAGAACCAACCGGGTTCGGCCTGCGCCTGTGCGGATCTGCGGGGGGGAACAGGTCGAGTCAGAGCATGGGGAGGCGGGAGTGTTTTGAATGGAGTTAGGAGGCTGTGAAAATGATTGGTACAAATTGTGGTTTAAAGACTGTGAAAGAGATCTGCTGGAGAATTGTGCAGATGGAATTGGAAGAAAAACTGTCTTGTAAAAGTAAGGCTTTGAATAAATTAAAGGGTGTAAGCCAGGCAGTTGATCAACCTATTAATACAAAGGGTGGGTTTGCCAAAACCTCCAGAGTATGGTCTGGAGGAAATCAGACTAGGTCGGCAAGAATTAATTGTTCAATTGCAGACCAGTCAGCCAAACAGTTCTAAGGATATAACACATAATGACTCTGAAGTATCTGTCAAGTCTCAAAAGGAAAAAATAATCCCAGTGGTAATAATCATAGTTAAGAGTTAAATAAGCACATATCAAGTCAGGAATCAGTAATAGTGGTTCCTCACATCAAGGTAAGAGGAATAAGTACCTCAGTAAGGGTAACCCAGTTAATAAGAGGTCAGGCAAGGAAAAGAGAGACTGTCTCTTCTGCCAGGGTACTCATTTCACTAAAAATTGTAATGCCTATAATTCATGGGATATTAAAGTGGAAAGAATGAAAGAACTTGACAGATTTATCAGATGTCTAGACAATCATAATGTAAAGGATTGTCATACCAAACTGAACAGTTGCTATCAATGCAACAAGGGAAGGCACCATACAGTTATGTGCAGGGTTGTATGTAAGTCTTATAATAATGGTGACAATAATGATAATGCTAATAACCCTGACACTACAGTGACTGATGTAAAGGTTGCAGCTAATGGCAATAATGATGGCCTAGCTGAGGTAGCCTTGCCGGTGTTGGATGTAATAATTCAGGATAAAGGGCATAAATCCAAAACCATGCTGCGTCTCTCTCCTCAACACTGGTAAGGGCCATGTAATATATGGCAGACTACCGCCTAGTAATAATGACTAGAGGAAGTAGTGAATACAGTCACGGTGTCTTACTCATAAAAGGTCAACCCAGTACAAGTATTCTTCTATCGAGAATGATGTTGAACCAGTCTAATTTGTGGGAGCTGGACAGCATAGGATTAATATAAATGAGGAAAGTCCAAATGATTCCTTTACTCAGGAACAATACCTGAAGGATGTTAAATGTGAATCTGGACATTACTGGGTGCGAATTCCGTGGAAGCTTGACCGTCCAGAATTACCTACTAATTATAGGATGGCGTATGGACAGTTAAGGGCCCAGCTCTGCGAACTGAGCAAGACACCAAAATTGTTGACTGCTTATAATGATTTAATTAATAAACAGTTAAATAATAAATTGTTCTTACTTCAGGCGACGATAAATGCACACCTTAAGTGCACAGGTGGTCCACTGAGCGAAGTAATTGGGTAAATAATCTTATGTGGACAATTTCCGGGTGTGACGTCAGCTGAAGAGGAACTAATGAGGATATGTGAAGGGGTTAATGAAATAATGCAGTAAGGTGCTGGGACTGACTTGGGACACTGAGAGAGACTTGTTATTGTTAACGTCTCATAATTTCAGTATGCCCAACAAATTAACCCAGAGAGCATAGGCTTAGTGTCACACCTTACAATAAGAGGGAAATTGTTAATACCAGAAGCATGGAAGCTTGAGTGTACTTTGGATGGAGCCCTACCTGAGGAGTTAACAGGTGGAAAGAATTAATGGGTGATTATGTAAATACCAATGTTGAAGTTCCCAAGCCAGGTGGCAAGTGAAGATGGGAAAATTGTACTCCACGTTATTTAAGTCGTCTAACAACGACCTCCGCCCGGCCGCAGTGTGGAAATAAAATTCCCATAATTATACTGTATATATTTTTATAATGTAAATATACATGATTAATGCATTACTGTTGTTCTAAATTGTATTTTGAATAGAACCAACCAGGTTCGCCCTGCGCCTGTGCGGATCTGCGGGGGGGAACAGGTCGAGTCAGAGCATGGGGAGGCGGGAGTGTTTTGAATGGAGTTAGGAGGCTGTGAAAATATTGGACCAGGAAATTGGCGTTCACGGCAGCCTAAGGATTAATATAGGCTTCACTTCACAATAGGAAGTGTTGTAACTGTTCCTGGTGAAGAGTGAGGGAACGTGATTTACGGGACCACCGTAAAAGGGTGGTAAAATTAGTGAATAATGGTTGGACCAGGGGTGACTGGTGCGCGGCCATGGTGTGTGTCCAGGGGAATACCTGTGAGTTAATCCTCACTCATCAGTCTCAGATCTTAATGGAGTGACCTCTAATGTGTATAATAATTATGAGACATTAAATCGTCTTGTGAATTGTAATGTAATCAGTGATAATAATACTAAGTTAAGGAATCGTTGAAGCGATATGAGCTGCCATTCCCAGAGTGTGTGCGCACATGTTTACCTCGTTGTTCCTGTCTTGAGGATAGTGAAGTT